TCACTATGTCAATGAAAAGTCTGGGAAAATATCAAGTCCACGGTCCGGGGCTAGAAATTATGATAGAGGAGGACTTAAGACATGGTGCATCCAACTAATTCGCCTTGATAAGACGACAAATCTACGAAAAAGAGGTCAGCCAACTCATAAAATCATCTCTAACTCCGCCTTCTTCCAATCTTCTGCTCATTAAATTTCGTTCCACAAAGAAGTCAATGGCGTCTCAAATCTTCCTTTTTATTGCGTTTTCACCATATGTGACCCTTCTTTTTGTTGCCTTCCAATTGATCTCGTGTCCAGTCTGTGCAATGTGTTCCGCTATTTCAGAACTTTCGGTATACAGAGTATATGATGTATATAATGCAGAGTATATGATGTTCCTTGATTCGTATGCTAATTTTTCTCCCTGTTTCGCTAATATATTTATGTTTGCAGACTATTGAGTAAATTCCATAGCAATGCAATTTGTCTAACATCTTATGTTGTTCGGGTAAATTTTTGAAGTGTTATTTTTCCTCCCTGACCACCTAGATATTCCATTTTCATAATATTGGCCTGATCGATCACCGTCAGAACAACGCGTGGTTATGTTTCTCCATTTTATGACTGATTTTGATCCCATCGAAAGCAAACATGTGACTGGTCGTGAGAAACATTTGAACTCACCTTCATCCTCATCGGAATACAGCCTATATTTGTTATGATAATGACACTTTCTAGTCTGTTTTCTATTATCAGAACACGAAAGCCATTCTAAAATTAAATCCACTTGAGGCTGCAACGCGATATCATAGCTGAGAACCAACACTTATTGCAAGAACATTCTCCATTGGCACATTGAAGATTTCATGTAAACTAACGTGATTTTGTAATAGGTGAAGAGCTGCAAGTTTGTAAGATTCCAGAAAATTAATAACTCGCTTTGCTTAAATGCACGCGATTGGCATCGGTATCAAAAAAATTGTATGAGATTAGTCCTGAAGAGCTTTAGCTGAACATCAACCGAACTATAAATACAATGCCGACTTATGACTATTAAATCCATCAAAAATTAACCACTCAACACCAGATATGTTACATCAAAATAAAGATTTTTAATAAGAAAAAGGCCAACCTTAAGCGAGTCAAGTGCATCGGCAAGCTGAGGCATAAGTTGGGGCATCTCGGAGGTGCGTTCATCAAAAACAAAACAAGAAAGAAGAGCAGCCACTTGGGCTGGAGTTAAACGATTGAAAACTCCATCGAATAGCAGCTCAGTCAAAACAAGCTCGTCAGCAGAGGTGATTTCGCAAGCGACTCGCCCTTTCAATTCAACCACATCGTGTTCGTTGATGAAACCTAAACGGCGGAGCACACGCTTGCGAGAGGCAAGTTCATCCAACTGAATGAGAGATAGTCTTCTGCTAAGTTGGGTTTGCAGGATTGCGAGGCGACGCTTAATCTTTGATTTGCGAGACAGGGCAGCTAATAAGGATTCTAAACGAGGATCATCATGAAGCCAATGATGATGTAGGCGTTCTTCAAAAGCCTTGGCTTTCTGGAGTCATCATAAGCAAAAATAATACTAATCAGTAAGTGTGCAGATTTAAACATAGAACATGTAAACAATTACCAGAGAATGCTTAATTAAAGTGTATATCACAGCAAAGTTTTGCAGCATTCATTGGAAAATTCAATAATTAAGGAGACAACAATAGTTTTAAAATATAAGAAGAATTACAATTCTGTTAAGTCAATTTAACCAAAATAAACTAATGAAATCTTAGCCAAAATAGCATTCAACGATGGCTCTAATCGCCTTAAGTCGAAAATAAGGTCGCTTAAGTCTTACTTCTATTCTTATCCTATTCAATCCCATCAAAATAAAATAAAATAAAAAATTAAGGAGAAAATAACGAATATATAAATAATAAGGCAAATATTAAATAATA